TTTCTCACCTAGGGCCTAGGGATAGGTACCTAAAAGACGACCGAGAATACAAAAAAAAAAAAGAAAACTCTGGGCTCTATTTTTCAGCGAAAGTAAAGTAGGTCATGTGGCCTAGGGATACGTACCTAAAAAAAGACTGAGTATACGAAGGGAAAAAAAAAAACTCTGAACTCTATTTTTCGGCGAAAGCAAAGAAGAGCTTACAGTCCAGGGATAGGTAACTAATAAATGACTAAGTATACGGAGAAAAAAAAAAAACTATGAGATCTGTTTTTCGGCGAAAGCAAAGAAGGGTGTGGGGTCTAGGGATAGGTACCTAAAAAACGACTACGTATACGGAGGAAAAAAAAATTATGGGTTTATTTTTCGGCAGAAGCAAAGAAGGGTCCAAGGTCTAGGGATAGGTACCTAAAAAACGACCGAGTATACGAAGAAAAAAAAGGAAACTCTTGGCTCTTTTTTTCGATGAAAGCAAAGAAGGGTCCATGGCCTAGAGATAGGTACCTAAAAAACAAGTGGGTATACGAAGATAAAAAAAAAAACTATGGACGTTATTTTTTTGCGAAAGCAAAGAAGGGCCTAGGGCTTAGGGATAGGTAACTAAAGAACGACAGAGTATACAAAAGATATATCACCTTTACATATGTGTTGTGACAAATTTCTTTGGATGAACATCATTAGGATTCTTCAAATGTTTTAAGGTCGGTTAACCATCTGTCCAGAAGAGGAATTAGATATGATGGTCCTACTCCTTAATGTGGAGAAAACCTCTAATAAGGTTTGTTGGGCTTTTGTCTTGACAACCCTTAGGCACATCGGCCTCGACCGAACATTTGCGAATGGGTGAAAATGATATACTTTTACGCCATAACATTTTTTATGATTAATGGTAGGATCTCTTCACCCTTTCCGTTGACCTGATCACTGAGGCAAGAGTGTCCGTTTGCGCCATTGTTGTTTGTACTATAGATGGACGTCTTGCTCAATAAGGTGAGACGCAACCCATATATAATAGGTCTTCGAATTCGACACCTGTTACAGTTTAAAAGGGAGTGCACTTGCAGACGATCTCACATCTGTGTCGAAAAACACAATATAATCTCTAATAGTGGTTAGAAAGACCTTACTGGAATACTGTTGTTTATGCGAAGCTCAAGTCATCTATTCGTTATCAATGTTTTTCCTGGTTGAACAATTTGAAATTTGTGTGGACTTGGGGATGAAAAAGATCCCTGCTGATTCAATCGAAAGGCTCCTGGATGTCCAAATCTCCCTGCAAAATTGTGTGGAAATGCAGGATAAGATCCTCCTAAGCAAAGTTGAACAACGTCTGCAGAAGTGGAAATTAGTCTACGGTCTCTCCCTCTTTGGCAAGGTCCTAATTGTGAATGTTGCAGTTTTCTCCTAGTTATGGTACACAGGGACGATCAAACCCCTGGGAAAAAGACCACGCAAAAGATTAGATCAGCGACCTCAAGCTACATCTGAAAACCAGAAGCGGAGGTAGGGCAAAGACACATGTCGAAACTGTCATGGAAGAAGATCACGACGACAAAGGAGGAAGGAGGTCGAGCAGTACTGGACCTGACACGTCAGAACAAGGCCCTACTCTGCAAATGGTCTGTGAAGGCAGCTATGGACTCAGAGGATCGCAGTTGGGTTGCTCTGGATGAATATGTTTTGGCCAAGGATGGAGCCTGAGCAATGGGGAGGACATATGCTTGTTAATGTCTACTCCAGCGTATCAACGTCGTAGGCCGAAGTCTGCTTTTTGGCGAGGGGTCATTCAGGCGTGGAGGACTCTCGCACCAACCCCTCTCAGATAACCACAGTCACGTGACGAGGTGTTACGTAAACCTTTATTTGAGAATCGTTGGATAAGGAATCAGGATGAACTGACTTTCACAATCGCAGAAAGAGGGAGTTTCGGAAGGGCCTGGATAGAAAGAGGGGTGCTTCGGGTCGAAGACATGTGGAATGACATACGAAAGGAGTGGAGTGTTGCGGAGCTGAGGTGCAAATTGGGGAGATAGTGACATGTGGAAACAAGGAGGGGGGCCTTGCTACAAGCTATCCCTGAAGACTGGAAACAACTGCTAAAGGACGAGACCTCAGAGGGCAAGTGGTACTGCCCTGTCCTTGGCGTCGGAGACAACCCACAAGTGTATAAGGGAGTCAGACAGGGCAAGTTGGAATTATGGGCGAAGCAAGTGAAAGAAGGATCTACTAGAATTACTCTCGTGTTTGTGGAAGAACGTGCAATTGCTGGTCTTGGTTTGATGAAGGAAGTGAGAGTCTTCATGTAGTTCTCTGCCGCTAGAACCCCCAGTCGGGGCTGCGAATGGGAGGCATGCCAATTAGACGGATGCGATTGGACATTGACTTGTATGGATGACCCAAACTAAGAGGCCAACCAGAACTCCATCAATATACCTCCAAACTTGAAATGACCACATAGAGGCTTGAGGGGAGTTCATCCCCGCTCCCCAGGTCTTGCACGGGGTCGGCACTCTCGATAGATTCAACAAAGAAAAATGGAAAATATGCCAGAGACTACCGAGTAAGAAAATTGCCTCTGTTATCTGGTTGATAACCCATTCAGCCCCCTTGGATGCGGAAGCGCTGTTTATAAGAGGTATGGAGGTGGATGTGAGGTGTGTTCGATGTCAACAACAATCAGAGAACGCAACACACCCCTGGGGTACCTGTCCCCTCTCATTCCGGATTTGGAGATGGTGGGCTCACCATTGGAAGGCGATGGGTGGACCAGACGAAGTGGAATGAGACTTGGAGTGGGCAATAACGGGACAACTCTCGTATCCGCTGTCCAGCGGGGAAGGATGGGGATCCGTGTCGACAGCAATCCGTGCGGTGGCAATTTGGTGGATATGGAAGGAGAGGAATTATGTGCTCTTTCAACGCAAAACTTCTCGGACGTAGCCTTGAAGTGTGGTATGAAGGCTACAGTCAGACACATGATTGCGGTGGATTGGAGGAAGAAAGTCATGTCCAAGGCAGACTTGGGGCGCTCTAGAGCAAGACCATTGTTTTTGCGTTCGTGGGCTAAGGACAACCGCCTAGCAGCCGTTTCAGCGACAACAGGGAAATTGGTACTCTCCCCGTGTCTGAAAGTAGAATAGATATTAGAAGAGGGGTGGGCAGGGAACGTTTGGGGTGGATTGTTAGAAGTAAAGGGATCGGTAATGCTTTGCTCCGTGGGAAATCTGTTGCTGTCACTTGGCCCCCTCGGGGGCTCTTAGGACTGGTACAGTTTATAATGGGTTGGGTAAAGAGGGGCGTTAGGGGAAATATCCAAGGTTGAACCTACCTGTCACTCGGTGGCTCTACTGTCCTTGGTGGAATGGCCCTCAGCCAGGGCCCGCGTTAGGGCCGAAAGTGGCCGAAGGCTGCGATTGGTCGTCCATCAGTAGGCTGTGTCATTTCCGCCAGGTTGGTCTGGCTAGTTTTGGCATATGGCATCTGTTCTGCATTTCCTTTGTCGGGTTGGTCTGGCTCCTTGAAACTCGTGACTTGCTCCGGGTAGAATTGTGAGGTCCCAGGCCTCCCATTGTTTCCAATTCAATAAACTGAGTGATTAAAAAAAAAAAAAAAAAAAAGGAGGATGTGGTGCAGAGACAGCAGTCGCATGCCATCACTTCTCGTTGCGGAGTTTTAAATCGAGATCCCACTAACGATGTATGTGGAGTAGTGTGACGGTTGCGGGACGTGCGGGCGACATCCATGTGGCATCCTTTACTCCGCGATAAATGTTGAAAAAAAAAATGCCGCAATTCTGACAACGCAATGTTGTCCACCCGCCGCGAACTGCGGTCAGCTGTCAAGTTGTGGATCTTCTGATGATTCCGCTAGTATGTTGTGCATGTAGACGGTTAATGGACCATGTACATGAGACCAACACACATTTGTCAACTTTCTCATAAGCAAAGTGTCCACTTGCACGTGGCTGTTCCGATACCGACGTTCCCTAACGGGAGGCCTGGAATTACAGACAAGTTGTGGACTCTGACACAAACTGACATCCCTTCATGATGAGAAAAGAGGAACATTTTCATTTTCGGCCTCTGTTGAAAGCATGGGCAACAACGCAAAAGTAAGTGGAAGGTGCATGAAAATCCTCACCAAAAAAGTTGGTACAATTTTCACTCACATTCAGGACCCCCAGAGGAGCACCTCAACAAAAACAAAAGAAATGCCACCCAATGGGAGCCCCCAAAAGTCATATGTTTCCCCGCGCCTAAAACCAAGAAAAACAACACCATTGGGGCGAGGTCCCATTAGAAGTGGGATAGGACTGTGGCCGATCCAGTGTGACACTAAGTGGCAGCGAGCTGACAGGTTCATTACGAATTTCTGGGCTGAGGAAACAGGAGAAGGGCAAAAAAAAAACAAAAAAACAGAGACCTCCCACCGGAAATCATGGCAGAGTGTTTCCCAGCCATCAGATCACAAATGATCTGATGGTGGTGGTTGCATCAACGATRAACAAAGTAACCGCCACATTTTATCGAATAAACTCGTCTTCTGTCAGTAATGATCCTGACGCCCTCCATGTACTCCGTGATTGAAGGCGGGCTCCACCCAATGAGATAAATGCACAACAGCAAGTAAAATACTGAAAATCAGAAAAACAACGATGAGAGTCACGAGTTTTCCGACAGCGTTAGCGCTTGCGCACCGCGACCGCTAGGGCTGAAGCTGCCTGAAAACTCAAGGTCGGGGGGACACGGCGGTTGGCGCCAGGTGCGCTCTAAGTTAGTGTCTTCGGGCAGTACCGAAGCATTCATCACCATGAACCATCGACATGATGGTCATGGTGTTCATTGCCTTCGTTCTCGGTAATTTTTGAGCTTCTCCTTGGGAGGGAGGTAATAGGGTTGTTCCCAGTTAGGTAGGGAATAGTTCACCATGTGAAGATTTGGATCATGTGAAGAGAGCATAAGAGGTGTAGGAGTCGTAAGAGATAACAGTGGGTGTGCGCCGACTCTCGCTGCCCGCCTTTGACGTGTTGGGTTCTTCTTTTCCCACAGTTGACCATCATGGTGAAGTGGAGTGAGAGTGTAGGTAACACCCCTCTCCACTATCAGCTTGGCAGTATCGAAATGGCATCGCAAGTTCCAAAGGCGGGAGCCGACCAAGGCAGAGGAAGATCACCACCAGTGAACTTGGACATCCCACAGTCAGATGAAGACCGGTTAAAGCTTCTGACATCCAAGTGCTATGATGATGGTATTCTCCCTGAGAAATTCCGACATGGGGAGTGGATTATCGAGGAAGGAGTACGCACTTTCGTGGTCAACCCAAGACTGGATGAGCTGACTACAAACTGGCTGAAAGAACGGACCGTCACCATCATCTTCCAAGGAGCGGCTCGGGATTTGCCGATGGGGGTTCGCGAAGACTTGGTAAGAGCGTACGAAAATGAGTGGTATCGCCAGCAAATATTCGACAGAAGTACGAAGCGTGGAAGAGTTTATGCTGAAGGGTCAAACGTCATCTCCTACGTTGCAAGATCAAGGGAAGTGGCCCACTGGATGGTGGCCAAGGCGGAGGACACTATTGTAATTCGGGGAGTAGAATACTCCATGCAATTTAAGCCGTGGTTGACGAAGACTGAATTGGATGAACGAAGACGGATGGAAGACGAATCTAGGTTCTGGTGATGGCGATTAGGGTGCCACTCCGGGTGATGTTTCACGTCGAGAATATGATGGAGATGTCAATGGGCAGAGTGACAAAGAGCCTCCCTCCGGAACAAGACAAGATATGGCCTAAGTTGATGAATCTCAAATTTGATCTCGTCAAGGAAGCAGAGGACAACTTCGAACCGGAGCTTTCGATTCGGCTGGGCAGTGAAGTATTTAAAATCCAATTTGTGTGCAAACACACCCCATGGTGTGAGAGATGCAGATGGTGGTTTCATAGTTCGACTGATGGATGCCCTCGTGCAGGGGAAAGCGACGATGAGGACCAGGAGGGCCAAAGACAGGACTCCAACAGGCAGAGACAACAGAGTGGAGACCGACATATATGGGACCCAGCAAGGGATGAGACAACCCAAGCCCCTAGGCAGGGGGTGGAACTCAGGGTTTGGAGGAAACCGTGGGCAGGAGAGCCTTCCAAAGGCAAGGTACAGGGAGTAGCAGGGGGGCGGACCATCAAACATCTGGTGGAGGAAGAGAACCTAATTTCTCTGAATCTTAAATTCCAAGGGGCGGTATAGACAGCAAAGCACGTAATTATTTGGGAGGCGGGCCATCATATACCCCTCTTCCTCATGAGAGGGAGGTAGGTTTTCGTCCGTATGCCCTGCTGAGACCGCCCCCATGGTACGATCAGCAATAGTGGTATCTCGGTCTATCGGCCAATAGGCACCAGAACATGTTCCAAAACGACTACGGTACGGGCTCGGGACTGAACTACAGAGTGTATGGCAACGGAGCTCCTGTCCCTTCAGGTCTATCCACACCAACAGAAAAAATGTCGAGCGATTTTCGGTGATTTTCAACATAGGAGTTTGGTTTTGTATGTATTTCATCTGTTGATATGCCTTATAATATGAAAACCAACATTGAACAATGTTGATTGACAAAAGGTCAACAACATCTCAACATTGCTTCAACAAGATTTCAACAAGATTTCAACATGTCTCAACATATGCTAAACACTACCCGAGTTCCCTCTCTACAGAGTTAGGTACATGGAAATTTTTTCTGCATCGGGGGACATTTATACAACAATTATTTTTGATGTTATGAAACATTATGGTTGTTTTGCAATATTTTGACAGTATGACCAAACGATTGTGAGTGTGATTTACATGTAATCCATGACCGTGTGACTTTTTTGATAAAGGTTTTGATATTTGACTTAAAGTTTGCAAAGCCGTGGACTGGATAAACTATTCTTCATAACCTGAAAGATTTACGGACTCATTTATTTTCGTGATATTATTTTCCTTAATGCTTAAGCAAAACAATAAAGGATATCTTGCTTGTTCATGCTCATTCTTCATAGGTAAAAGGGTCTTTGTGGTTTTTATTGTCCTGATGGTCATTGATCATTTCAACCGGTGATGGTTCGTGGATGGCCAAGACTCGTTTTTTTTTACAAGTAGATATCGGAGGAAAAAAAACCTTCGATGTTTTTTAACACATTGTGTTGTCTGTTGCATTCTCCTAGGACGCGAGAGGAAGTCATAAATTGTGTGACGTTTGTACGCACATGAGCACTGTCTTCCAAAAGGTGACGTAGTCGTGGATTACACCCTCTCTCAAGCATGAGGAGAAACCCGATACCGTATAGTTTCTTGTCCACAATGTGAGCAATGTGCTATTTTCAGTCAGAGAGTTATAAACTGCACTTTTTGCCCTACAAGGTTGGAGGAAATCAACGACTATGTGATTTTTCCCATCTCCGTTTGCACAGTCTCAATGTGTCATACAGTCTTGTACTACATCCTTTCTCCCACAAATTGAGAAAAAGTCAACGACCGTATGACTTTATGCATAGAACGTGAGCACTGTGTGACAAAAGGTCGTGAACTGCACCCTTTCCCCTCCGATTTTTCTTTCTTCTTTGTCCAGACTTTAAAAGTCGGCGTTGCTCATGTAAAACATAAACTTGGGTTTATGAAAACGTGCAAAGCGATTACTTCGAAAAACAAATGATAGAGTGTTGTTTTCTAGTGTTTTTCTTTTGAGGTGCAATGGAGTTCACGACTATGTGACTTTTTACGATAAGTGAGTATTATATTCGATAAGGTTACATAGTCGTGGATTCATTGTCATGAGCACAACGAAATAACAACTCTCTACAGTGATGTTTGCAATGTCTCAAAGTTTCTTACAGTCTTGTACTGCATCCTTTTTCCCACACATTGAAAAAAAGTCAACGACCGTATAAATTCATGTATAGAACGTGAGCACTGTGACAAAAGAGGTCACCTAGATGTGGAGTGCACCCTTTCCCCTCCGAGGTGCGAGGAAGTTCACGACTATGTGATTTTTTATAACAAGTCAATATTAAATTCGAGAAGGTTACAAAGTCGTGGATCCATTGTCATAACTGTAATGAAAGAACATGTATCTACGATATTGTTTACACTGTCTGAAAGTATCACAGGGTCTTGTGCCTACTAATTTCTTCCACAAATTAAGAAAAGTCAACGACTGTGTGACTTTATACATACAGGGTCAACACATTGTCATAAAAGGTCGCTCAGTCGTGGACTGCACCATTTCCCTTCCGAGGTGCAAAGAAGCGCAAGATTATGTGACGTTTTTACATCTGGTGAATATGATGTTTGAGAAGGTTACAATGTCGTTGACTGATTGTCAACAACTTTGTGCGGCTATGTGACTTTTAAATAATGCATCGTTCTTATTTTTCAATAGGCTATGTATTCATTAACTGCACCCGATGTTATATAGAATGGTGGGAAGTCCACAAAATTAAAATTCTCCTTATGCAATGTGACCATTATGTTTCCAAAGGTCACATGGTCATGAACTGCATCCTCTCTCCTACAAAGTGGAAAATAAAAATACAAAAGTGTTTGATATTTTGTATGCACCGTGATCATTACGTTGCATATCGACACGCAGACGTTGACTTTACCTTCGAGAGAACAACTTTGTGCGACTATGTGACTTTTACAGAACATATCATTCTCATTTTTCAATGGGCTATGTAGTCATTCACTGCCCCCGATGTGCCATAAAATGGTAGGAAGTCCACAAAATTGCAGTTTTCTTTATACAATGTGAGCATTATGTTTCCAAAGGTTATATGGTCAAGGACTGCATCCTCTCTCCAAAAAGGTGGAAAAAATAAAAATAAAAATGTGTGACATTTTGTATGCAATGTGATCACTTCGTTGCATATCGGCACACAGTCGTTGACTCTATCTTGTTCTCATCCCTATAGGAGGAAGTTCACGACTATGTCACATGAAACTATACAATTTGAACTGTGTATTTGTGGTTATGCACTTTGTATCTCTCTTGTGATTTTTATGGTATAATGTCAAGGATAAGTGAAGACTGTGTTATGTTTAAGTGAAGTATCATAGGGGGTCGGTACAAACCCGCACAATTTTTTTACAATGGAGGGCTTATATGTTGTCATTGTTCGAATAATCATTGATCAACCTAGTTAAGAGATAGTTTATGTATGATTAACTTGGTTCCATTTTTTGTAATTCTAATTTATATTTTTTTTTCATACACATTTCTTCTGCATTTCTTGTAACACTATGGATTATTAATCGTTTTTCTTTTTAAATGTATGTTCTCACTTATGTCCTATTTTTTTTTCTTCAGAAACTTCATAGCTCGGGGCGTATTGAACATATCTCGGGCCCAAACAACACCAGGGTATTTTTCGAAAACTTCAATCGTTGTCAGAGGGGCACGACATGGTAAGTCTACTATTAGAGGGGCACGCCAGAAATAAATCAAACTTTATGGGCCATATCAAAAAAATAATCCTTTTTTTTCTTGGCTAGTGGTATTATGAGTACTCCCTAACAAAGGTACTGGCAGGAAGAAAAAGAATTAGCCACCACTACCTTTCACATGCAAACGCTGTCTCAAAAGTAGCCTACTGCGAAGAAGTCGGGGGCTCGGTGCAGGGTTGGACGCCGAAAAAAAAAACATGTAAAAAAAAAAAAAAAAAAAAAACTACGAACGAGGAACCCAACTGTCAGAGTATCCTCCCACATAGGTCATGATGGCACAAGCACGGTTGAACCCATATTTCAATGGAAGATGGGCAGGGTAGGGGGCGTTGTATTCAGGCGGAGGGATTTTTCAGCTCTTCCCGGGGTGGGCCGCCAAGCTGGTAGCCTAGGTGCGCAGTGAAATTCAGGTTAGGCAAAAACAGGGTCGGAGGTACAGTGGAGGTGGTAAAGCAAAAAAAAAAAAGGAAAATTTGTCTGGTGCCCCTGTAATTTGCGTTATTTCCTCTCGTGCCCCTCCGACGGCCGATTTACCCTGTCGTGCCCCTGGGCCAAAAAATATTTTTTGCAGGCCCTTGTCGGTAGTGAACACCACTTTCCTACTTGATTCCTTGGACTGACGGTCGGGCCCTGTGCCATATGCCCTCATGACGGACAGCCATCTTTCTGCAATGCCCCCGCAGCCGTGAGGCACCACAAATTCGCATTTCCGT